GGGAGGGGGGTGGGGCGAGTGGCTGCTCAATAGATATGCAAATGAATTTTTTGCTTTTTTTGGGACGCGCCAGACAACAGGTGATGGCCACATAAAAATGCCAATCGATACACATATATATATGTATGTATATGTATTTGTGTCTATATATAGATGTGTGCTTCGCTTTGATAATAAAGTGTAAATCGCTGGCAGCAGCAGCAGCAGCAGCAGCTACAACAGGAGCTGGCTAAATTAATCACTGTGCTGTACATATATCAAAATAAACAGATCATGACAAATGCAGCGCGTTAATCGTGCAGAACTCACTGCCTCTCCCCCTCTCTCTCTCTCCCTTTCGATCGGTATCTGCGTGCTCACCTCGTCTTGCTGGCTGCAGTTAGCTTCTATTTCTTTGTCTCTGCTGGCTGCTCTTTTAATTAAAATAATTTCTGGCTGCACTTTTTCCACGTGAAATTCCGCATTGCAGCAGACGACACGAACATAGCCGCTGTCATGTTCGCTTGTCTAGCAATGTGTTCGCTGGCCAGACCCAGACCCAGACCCAGCACCAGCACCAGCACCAGATCCAACTCCAATACCAGACAAACGGCAAACGCATAAATTATGCTTTGTTGACAACACAGCCGGCACTTTGACTGAGGCTGAGGCTGAGGCTGATTCTTAGGCTGAGGTGCCAAAGGTACGCAAAAACGCTTTAACACATTTCTTGGCACAACAAATGGCACAGCTTCTTCTGCTTGCTTCTTTTTGTTCTTCTTTCTTTCTAGTCTGCTGCCTAGAATGGACTTTTAATTGTCGAATCTCGACATAAATCAGGCAAGCGATGCGCGTGATTTGAGCTGAGTTCTGTAACATTTAATGTTAATTTCTCTTAGCCTGGTCAGCAGGTAATGCATGACTTCATTGTAATCACCTTGCATGGCACAAGCTGCTGCTCAGCTCTGTCCTACTGCTCCAGCTCCTACTCCTGCTTCTGCTCCTGCTCCTGCTCCGTCTCTTCATTAACCAAGAAAAAAAGCAAAACTCTTGTTTTGGCTGCCTGCCAAATGGCCAGACAATCAGACATCTTTAAAGTGCGCCACAGACACGAGTTGCGGCAATCTTTAGCCAGCCTCTAGACGGCCACGCCCCGCTCGCGCCTCTGCCCCACCTCAGCATGGACATCTGCGCTGGCTGCATGCTGAATGTTTTGCATTTCAAATTGCATTTTAATCGCATTTCAACCTGAAATGCCATTAGACATAATTCGTTTAGCTGCATTTGTCATTGGCCAGCAAATCATTTCGATATGGCCAGTGCCACGCCTACGCCCATGCCCACGCCCCGATAAGCCGCCCACCGAATGCGATTCACTTGAACAGAATTTGCCAACCGCACGTAAATCAACTTTGCCATTGATTTCAGCCGACATTCGCTCCACTGGACACTGGACACTGGACACTGGACACTGGACACTGAGCCCTGGACAGTTGTCAGTTGGAGGACGTACTGTTCAGATTATGCGCATGGCATCCGTTAGTCTACACACACACACACACACACACACACATGCAGGCGGACACAGTCATGTCAAATTTGTCATTTTGTAATTGATTGTGAGCCGATTGCAGACGCAATCGAATGACATTTAATCAATTTATGTTTGGCTCATTTCTAATCAAACGAACGACCCAAACACAAAAACCGTTTTGCATCTCATTTGAGTGTTGGCACCTGCCCGACTGTATAAATACGCACAGCATGCAGCATGATATTTGTTCTTTATTTGTTGGCATTTGGTTACAAGGTGAGCGGCAGACGTGTTGAAAGGCGGGTCAGCCAGAGTCCAAGTGCCTTGGCAGGCAGCTAGCACAATCAAAACGGACAGTCTGACTGACGGACAGACAGTCGACGTGCCTACAGAACTTAAATAGCCTAAGATCTCAGCACACATTGCACTCTCGGACTCTGAATTATCGATTTTCTTAAGCACTCACAATGTAGAACCAAAGAGGAAGAGAAATGAAGAGTATAACATGCGAGCAGAAAGCGCAAAGAGTCTTGCCGATTTTTAGATGCACTTTGAATTTGTATATATGTAATTATGTATTCAAATATATATTTATGTTTTAATAGATTTTCTTCATGCTTATGAAACAATCTTTTGTTGATGTTGAGATAAATAAATAAAAGTGTATAGATAATAATAATGAAAGAAAAAATATGTATGAATAAATTGTGTAGAGCAAAAAATACAAAGAAGAATCGTTTACAAATTTTAGCAAAAAAATAAAAAATAAAATAAAATGAATAAATAAATAAAAAAAATAAAAT